CCTCATTCAATAAACTCCAGAGGCTCTCTATCACCTCCAGGATCAAATATAAAATCCTCTGTTCAAAGCCCTTCACACCCTGCTCCTCTCCTACCTTTCCAGTCTTCTTACCTCTTACTCCATAATACATTCTGTACAATTCAGTAAGACTGGCCTCTTTTCACTGGCTGTCCCCCGTGCCCTCGATTTCTTTCCCTCCTCATCTGTGCCTCCTAGCTTCCTTCAAGTCCCAGCTAAAAGTCCCACCTTTTACGAGAAGCCTTACCTGATCCCTCTTAGTCCTAGTGCCTTCCCTCTGTTAATTATATCCAATTTATCTGAGAGATTTTATATGTCTATATATAAATATATAGAGTATAATTATGGCATATATTTATATATAATATGCAACATATAATTATGTATTATACTTATGACATACCATTATATATAAATTTATATATATCTATAAATATATATTTATAGACATATATACATATAATACATACACGTTTATATAATATAAATACATTAAATATAATGGAAATTACACACACACACTTGTTTATACATCACTGGTTGCTTGTTGTCTTCCTATTAGACAGTGAACACTATGAGAGCATGAATTTTTTTTCCTGCCTTTCTTTATATCCCCAGTGTTTAGAACAGTGCCTGGCACATAGTAGGTGCTTAAAAAATGGTTATTGACTTACAATAATATTCCATTGTACTCATATATGATAATTTGTTTAGTCATTCCCCAATAGAAAGACAGCTGCCCCCCCCCGCCTACTTAGTTTCCAAGTTTTGGCTACTAAGGAAGGAGCTGCTTTACATTTTTATTTTTGGTGAGGCAATCGGGGTTAAGTGATTCGCCCAGGGTCACACAGCTGGTAAGCGTCAAGTGTGTGAGGCCAGATTTGAACTCAGGTCCTCCTGACTCCAAGACAGGTGCTTCATCCACTATGCCATCTAGCTGCCTCTATGTTTTAAAAAATATACATATAGATCCTTTTCCTGTTTCTTTGATTTCTTTGGGGTATAGGCCAGGTAGTGATATAGATAGGTCAAAGGGCACGTAGAGTTTGGTAAATCTCTAGATATAGGTCCAAATTGATTTTCAGAATGACTGGACCGGCTCACAGTTCTTCCAACAATGCACTAATGTGCCTATTTTCTTACAAACCCTCCATTTGTCATTCTCTTTTGTCATCTTTACCAGTTTGATAGTTGAGGTAGGGCTTCAAAGTTGCTTTAATTTGCACTTTCCTAATTATTAGTGATTTAGACATTTTAAAATGATTGTTGATGCCTTTGATTCTTTCCTTTGAAATTGCCTGTTCATATCCTTTGACCATTTATCTCCTAGGGAATGGCTCTTATTTTTTATAAATTTGAATCAGTTCCTTATATAGCTTGAAAATGAGACCTTTATCAGAGAAACTTCTTGCAAAAATTTTTTTTCGCCAGTCACCTGTTGAGACAAATGAAAAGCCTGAGAGACAGAGAGTTTCTGGGTAATCAATAATCAATTTATTAATTATGGCTAACAGAATCAATAAATTGGGGTCAGCGGTTCTCTGTGAAACCAAAGAATCATTGACACTATCCAATGCTTAAATTCCCTTGGAAGAGAGGGTGTTCCTGCTTTGATTGGATAACAATGAGAGCATGAATATTATAATGTGTGGTGAGTTTATTCTAATGAGGGGCTGGGGGGACATGACTTGGATCACATCCCTATTGGGCAAAGACACTCATCTCAAGCCAGACCACTCCCCACTGGTTCAACCTAGACAAAAGGATTTATCTCCACCTACACCACTAAGGTCGAACACAATGGGCCAGAATTCACTTAGATTGAATTCTCTTTACCCTTTATTTTTAGAAAATATTTATTTTTTAAAATTTATTTATTTTTAGTTTTCAACATTCACTTCCAGAAGCTTTTTGAGTTTTAAATTTTCTCCCCCTCCTCCCTCCTCCCTCACTAAGATGACACGCAATCTTATAGAGGCTCTACATATACATTCCTATTAAACATATTTTCACGTTAGTCATGTTGTATAGAAGAATTAGAACCAATAGGAGGAACCACGAGAAAGAAAAAACAAAACAAAACAGAAGGAAAAAAAAGAGCAAATAGTATGCTTCAATCTGCATTCAGAACCCATAGTTCTTTCTCTGGTTGTGGACAGCATTTTCTATCATGAGTCTTTTGGAGATGTCTTAGATCCTTGCATTGCTGGGAAGAGCTAATGTATCAACGTTGGTCATCACACAACGTGGCTGTCACTGTGTACGACGCTCTCCTGGTTCTGTTCACTTCACTCAGCATCAGTTCATATAAATCTTTCCAGGTTTTTCTGAAGTCCACCTGTTTATCATTTCTTATAGCACAATAGTATTCCATTACATTCATATACCACAACTTCTTCAGCCATTCCCCAATTGATGGGCATCCTTTCAATTTCCAATTCTTTGCCACCACAGAAAGAGCTGCTATAAATATTTTTGCATATGTGGATCCTTTTCCCATTTTTATAATCTCTTTGGAATACAGCCCTAGAAGTGGTATTGCTGGGTTAAAGGGTATATGCACAGTTTTATGATCCTTTGGGCATAGTTCCAAATTGCTCTCCAAAATGGTTGTATTAGTTCACAACTCCACCAACAATGCAGTAATGTTCCAATTTTCCCACATCTTCTCCAGCATTTATCATTTTCCTGTTTTGGCATGTCAGCCAATTTGATAGGTGTGACGTGGTACCTCAGAGTTGTTTTGATTTACATTTCTCTAATCAATAATTGTTTAGACCATTTTTTTCATATGATTATAGGTAGCTTTAATTTCTTCATCTGAAAACTGCCTATTCATATCCTTTGACCATTTATCAATTGGGGAATGACTTGTATTCTTATAAATTCTTATAAAAATATAGTTCTCTATATATTTTAGAAATGAGGCCTTTATCAGAGACACTGGTTGTAAAACTTCCTTCCCAGTTTTCTGCTTCCCTCCTAATCTTGGTTGCATTGGCTTTGTGTAAAAACTTTTCAATTTAATGTAATCAAAATTACCCATTTTGCATTTCATAATGTTCTCTATCTTGTCTAGTCATAAATTCTTCCATTCCCCATAACTCTTTTACTCTTTAATTAGATATAAATTCTCCCAGTTGGGTGGGGTATCCAAGATTGACAAGAACGTCTCATTGTCAGGCCAGTCCTTCTCAAGAACTGAGCTTTGAATAAGGAAATAGAAAGGGGAAAAAACTCTGGATTCCCACCCACCCCCCATTAATAATTGGTTATTAATAATCATTTCTCTGTTTCCATTCTAATTTTTTCTACATTAGGTTTGTTTGTGCAAAATCTTTTAAATTTTATGTGCTATAATCAAAACTGTCCATTTTATCTTTGGTGACAAGTTTAGTTATGAATTCTTCCCCTATCCATTAATCTGAAAAGTAATTTCTTCCTTTTCCTCTAATTTGTTGTTGACCTTTTATATCTAGGTTGTGGATCAATTTTGGACCTTATCTTGGTGGATAGTGTGAGATGTTGGTCTAAACCTAATTTCTGCCAGACTGCTGTTCAGTTTTCCCAGAAATTTTTGTTAAACAATGAGTCCTTTCTCTAGTAACTGGGATCTTTGGGAAAAGGAGGGGAAGGGAAGGGAAGCAAAGAGAAGGGAAGAGAATAAGCATTTATATAGCACCTACTATGTGCTGAGCACTATACTAAGCATTTTTTTTACAAATTTTTTTTATTTGATCATCACAACAACACTGCAAGGTAGGTTTTTACAGCTGAGTAAACTGAGGCAAACAAAGGTTAAGTGTTTATCAAACACTATATTACTGTATTTGTTTACTTCAATATGTTGTGTAACTAATCTGTTTCACTGCTCAAGCTTTTTTTTTTAAATAAGTAGCACCACATCATTTTAATACTATTTTTTAATATTGTCTGAGATCTGGTACTGATAGATCCTTCCTTTCCACTTTTTTCATTATTATCCTTCAGATTCTTGGCTTTTTGTTCCTCTCTATGTATTTAGTTATAATTTTCCCAAATTATTTTGGAAGTTTGATCACTGAATATGCAAATTAATTTAGGTAGTACGGTCATTTCTGTTATATTGGCTGGACCTACTCATGAGCAATTAATGTTTCTCCAATTATTTGTCTGTTTTTATTTATTTTATAGTTAGATTCACATAGTCCCAGGGTGACCCCCCTGTACCAACTCTTAGGAATAATGAGTTGTCTAAATTTATGGCTCATATACTGTGTGTGAAGTAGGGCAGTACGTCAAGATGGAAAGAACCTTATTCTTAGAACCAGGAGAGTCTTGGGTTTGAATTCTGCCTCTGACATTAGTTATTAACCAGTAGCAAGTCACTTAATCTTTCTGAGCCTCGGTGTCTTCATGTGTAAAATGGGAATAATACCTATAATATCTATGAGGCTGTAGTGCTGCTTAAGTGAGATATAGTATGAAAAAGTATTTTGTAAATCTTAAAGACCTCTTTAAAGTGCTAATTAAGGAGCGGTTTTTATTTACTCTAAACTTCTAAAGAAGTGCAGAGAAGGCTTCAAGCAGGTGAGCTAGAGGCCAGTTAGGCAGGAACCAGACCATAAACCTTAGGGCACACAGTGAGGAGAGGCAGCTACAGCCTGGCTTTGTGTAGGTACCTATCCCCTAATCACACTATTCCAAAAGGGACCCAGGGCAAAGGATGCCCCCCATTCACAGTACCCCCCCCTGCCCCTCATCTCTCCCTCTTTTACTTCCTGGCTCTCCTGTGAGGAAAATGCTAGCTCAAAGCCCTTTAGACAAACCTGGAAACCTTCACCCAAATCCTCCAGCATGATTATTGTAGGAATGGAGGGGGAGAATAGAACCTAGAAAGCAGAGAGAAGAAAAACTTGATCTTTTTCCATAGGATCAAATATTGGAGTGAGTTCTCAGGACTGCCAGGAAGCCATCTGGCAGAAAAGAAGAGGAGAAACAAATACCTGGGTCCAAAAGAGGGCTTTATTCAGACTATGGAACCAACACCCCTCCTTATACCACTTCTGGATCCAGAAAGTTGACATCCCGGTATCCTGTGCAAACCACCCAAAAACATTCTTGAACTTTGAGGGAAGAAGAGAGAAAAGGGTGAAACAGTGGGAGAAGTAAGATGAAGTAGAAGGAATTCTTCCAGGGGAAAGCAGAGTAAATTAAATAAATTCATGGAGCCATGGATTCCTGATAAATCAACAGAATTCTCTGTGTTGTGCCCATTCAATTCCAATTACATGGCAGTGGCGGATTGCTTCTGGCCTACTGCAGAGATTTCTTCTGAACAATAAACAGATTCCTTTTATTCCCATATCTCTTTTGGGAGATAAGGGGATACACATGTCCCTTTAAGACCACTTTTTGAACTTTCTTCATTCCTTTATCTGGGGCTAGATGTCCCTGGGTACAGAGTGCAAAGGTCCTGGGCAGGGCAGCCTGTTACCCAGTGGCACAGGGTTGGCATGAACTGTTGGATCAGAGCTTTGGGGACTGAGTACGGCCTGTCCACACAATAGGGGGTGCAGTGATGCCTAGCTCCTCCCGAAGGGCTCCTATGGGCTGCTCCCACCGTTGTTCATAGTAGAGGCTGAGGACGCAACGGGAGTTTCGGCCATTCTGAATTGCCCAGGGAATTAGCTCTGATATCAACACCTTCAGCTTCCTGTGGGGACAGGGAAGAATCCATTACGTCAACTCCATCCCATACTTCCCCATATGACATCTGTCCAGCTGTAAAGAAATTGCTAAGGTCTGAATACAGGCACTGACAGGGCTCTGGCTTCTGCTCCTATCTCCTGCCTCTCTGCCCTCCAGCTCTTCTTCCTGCCTAGACACCCACACAAGAGGCCCCAAAGGAACTTACTTGGCACTGAGTCGGATGGGTCCGAAGGCAGCTCCTAAGACACACATAGGTAGGCCCGTCTGGATGGCTTCAAACCACTTAACCACAACTTCTCCTGGGCAAAAGGAGAAAAAATTGGTAGTGATAAGGACAGGCCCTTATGTGCAGTCCTGCCACACATTACTGTATAGTGGAAGCAGCAAAGTATCCTGAGAGCCAGGAGACAGCATGTACCAGGAAGGGCAAACCACCATCTCCTCCCCTCAGCTCCTTATGGAGAGAGCCCAGAAACCTGAACCTCTAGACTACTGGCTCTGTTTTCAGCTCAGCCTTATCACCTTATTAAGGGGAGCAACCACCATGGAGAAGTGGCCCACCTTCCTTTCCATCACCACTAACTGTTGACCCATTGCCACCAATGAGAATGTAGGCCCGAGAACCTGGGGAATGGCAGCACTTTCCTCTGCTCCTCCCCGATCCTGCCACTGGTTCTGCTTCTAGCCCAATTCCCAAAGTCATAATCCCCATTTAAATGTGAACTCCTTCAGGGCATGGCACTCTTTCTTTTTCTGTCTGTGTCTCTAGTGCTTAGTATGTAATAAACACTTAATAAATGCTCATTCATTCATTCATATGATGCTCAAGTTGGGCTGCACAGCTTAGAGGAGGGGGAATCAGGAACTGGTCAATCCCACCTGGGTCCTGTAATAGGACCCAGTTCTTGTGTCTAGTTTGGTCAGGGCAAGGTACTGGCTCCCTTCCCGATCTGATGCTTTCACAGTTCTTGTCCCTTTGGATTTATGATGTTCAGATAATCCACCCCACCCCAACCTCCCAGGCTTTGTGCCCACCAGAATAGAATGAGTACTCACGCACCAAGCATGTTGGTGGGCATTCCCAAAAGTGTGTGGAGTAGGTCATGAACTTCACGGTAACGCTGGATCACGTAAGCAAGTTCCTCATCATCCACAAAGCGTGTGGGTGCTCGTGTATCTGGGGATACCCTCTGAAAGCCATACACCCCCAGCACTCAGTCATATCAACTCCCCTAGACCCTTGCTACCAATTTCACATAGGTCAACTATTCCTCACTATTCCTTGGCCCCAAAGCCCTCTACGCTTAATAATTTAGATGAACATTTGAAGAACTGAGCAATGTCTGCTATGATTACCTCAAATGCTGTTGCTAGGGGTATACAGGCATTTGTAGGATTTTTTATATGGAAAGTGGAGGTGGGAGAATATGGGGGAGGGGGGGAGAATCACACCATGTAGCTCCTGCCTCCAATACTTGTCTCTAGATGAAATCATCTTATAATGAACATCAAGGACATCATTGAAGGGCAAACGAAAAGTCACAGAAGCACATTACAAATTGAAGGACGGTTGGGGTATGCAAGGAAGTAGGGTAGTCCCTCTGGTGATAGTAAAGCATGTAGGAGCTGATAAGGTGTCTATAAGCCACAGGTCTTTTTTCTTTTTAGCACAAGCACACTGAGCTTCCTCCTCTGCTACGAGGACTTTCTGGAGTTACTGTCTACCCATCAGCAGCACCAAGAGTGAGTCCTGAATGCTTGGAATCCTCCAGGTTCAGCCTAGAGATGCACTTCACTGAATGCATTTGACCCTCTACTTGCACACAGGACAAGTATTTTCATTTGCTTGATTATTTTGTGGATTATTTCCTCCACAAAGTTCTCCTCTGAGCACAGGATCCGGCAGCTTTACTGAGCTGGAAAGGCTCTGAGTACTTGCCTTTTGATGGCCTTTTGGCCGTGCACCTCCCTCATTCAGCTCAGATGGAGGTTCTGCAGGGGATGAATTTTTTTAGTCCTAGCCCTCACAAAGACCTCTACGAAGGTGTGAAAGAATTGTCAACTGAATCACCAAAGGGTTCACCCATATGTGCTGATGAAATCACAGCTCCCTTTAGTATTGATAGAAGTATTGCTCTCTTCACTGTTAGTTTGTCTCTATGTCTTCCCATAATCATGCAGTCTTTGATTACTAGAAGGTCTAGAGTCACTTGAATTTGCTTAGTGGAATGCCAGAAGGAGAAGCCTGATTAAATCTTTGTCGATGACCCTTAATGTCAGGCTCCATGAAGCAGGAATTGAACCTTGAGCTTAATTACTTTTGGGGCAATTTTGTTACTCCATCCTCTGTGGGTTAGCAGAGCCTGGGGGCACAGTTGTGTCATAACTAGTTGCTACAATGTGGCTAGGGACTGGGTCAGAAGCTATGCCCTCTCTAGGTCCTTGAACCTAGATAGCTATCTGGGATACTTTCTGGACAGGTCCCTCCATCAGAGGGATAGGCTGGAAAACCATAATGTCGGGGAATTGGAGAAATCTTCTGGTTTTCAAAAAATACAGGTGAAATCTGGATTAAAGTGAACACGAAGGGCAACTATGGGATGTAGGGTTAAGAAGGTTTCAGGAGATGAAGGTTATGTTAAGTCAGGGAGCTATCTGCAGCCTCAAGGATTATGAAGAGTGGGGGACTAGTATGCTCAGATTGACTATGCTTATATTCTCTTCTACTGGACGGACCGCCTCGAGTTACTGGGCAGCTACGGGTGCCTGGCGGTGGGGGAACAGAGGACACAGAAAGGAGCCAAAGGCCATGTTTGACCAGTCTTCTCTTAGCTTGGATAGTCTGCTCATCTGTTTGCCCACAATCAGATGACAAAACCTAGGCCTTCGAGGTCAAAAAGTCAGGGTGCTAATATAGTTACTCCCAAGATATTGGTGGCTTGTGGCTGTTGCCAAGGTTCTACTTCTATTTACTTGCATTATCCCCCAGGGCCCAACCATGTGTATAGGGAACAAACACTCACATTAACATCAAGAAAGCGGGCATACTCCCAACCAAAGGAGCCCTCCGGTAGGGTCTGGAGTTTGCTCAAGTCCAGAGTAGAGAGCTGGATCCGAGGCCGTTCCCTGTGGGGCAGAGGAGAAGATTCAGGAGCTAGAATGGGTGAATTAAGGAGTGGATAAGATTACCAGACATGAGTGACACATAAAAAGTTTATGTGAAACGGACAGCTAGATTAGGCCTTAAAAGAGGATGAATCAGATAGAATTGGAATGGTAGGAAAGCCACAATCCATAGACATTTATCGAGCTACACTGTGCAAGGCATTTTACTAAGAAATGTCAAGGGATGCAAAAGAAGTTTGGGATACTGTCCCTACCCTCAAGAAACTTTTGTGGAAAAAAGGGTGCAAACATGAAAAGATAATTAACAGTAGGATGCAGTAGTAGAAAGAGTTTTGGAGTCAGAAGAGTCAGATTTCACTTCCTATACTTATTAGGTATGTGACTAGAAGCTCCCTTTTCCTCATCTGTAAAACGAGAATCATAGCACTGGCAGCAACTACTTCACAGGATGGCTCTGAGGATTCAATAAGACCATATGTGCACACCTTGACTTGCTCTACAAAGGTCAGTCATCAGAATTATCCCAAGGTAGTATACTTTAAACACAAAATTAGTGGTACTAACAGTAAGTACTTAAGAAGTTCAGAGAAGGGAAAAGAGAGTTCACTGTGGGCTGTGGTAGTCAGGGAAAACTTTAGGGAGAAGGCATGACTTTATCTGTAACTTGAGGATATAAGAATAACTGGAAAGCAGAGTGAAGAGCATTCCAAGAAATGGGAATAGTAGGGCTAAAGAAAGGCTGTATAAAAAGTAACAGAAAATAAATCTGGAGAAGTAGGGAGTAGAGGGTTTTCCATGATAAGGAATCAAGATTTTATGCTGCAGGCAGTGCTTCATAGAGCAATACCTTCTGTAAGGTTCAGGACAGGGGCAAGGTTAGAAGGGACCAGAGAAGTCATCTTATTCAAGGCCCTTCATTTTATAGATGAGGAACTGAGGCCAGGAAAGGCTAAGTGACTTGCCCAGGATCACACAGCTAGTAAGTGACTAGGGCAGGATTTGAACCTGACTTCAAGTCCAATACTCTATCCACTACAACATTTTGCTTTGGTTTGAGGAATGTCAGAACCCTCATTCTATTCCCACCCTCAACCCCTCCAATTAAGTAAGATCCATCCCAAGCCCAAGATGGGACCTACTGCAGGATCTGGGCACCCTCGGGGTCCCTCCTCATCCGGTCCCTTAGTGCCTGCAGAGCTTGGTGTCCTGTGGTCTCACCCAGAACAGCAACCATGTCTGAAAGGACAGAAATGAGCACACGTGGAAAGAATGGGGGGAGTCTCTTGACCAATTCAAAACGATGATGAGTCGTGTGTAGAACCCAGTGGTAACATGTAAGGGGAAGAAGCCAAGGTCCTCCCAAACATTCATGTACAAGGTACTGAGGATATAAAGATGAAAAATGATACTGATTCTCACTTCAAGAAACTTAATAGAAGCATTAAGACAAATACATAAAAAAGTATAAGGCAGATTAGGATTAAGTGAAAAGGAGAAAAAATGCAAAGTGACATGAGAATTTTGAGGATGGAAATATCACTTTCAGGTAGGAGGGGATAGGATGGCATTCAAGGAAGGAATTTCATTCATTCATGAAGGCAACAGTCCCTGAGATGATCTTTAAAAGGTGCAAAGAATTTTAACAGGTAGAAAGAGGTTTGTGGATAGGCTGTATTTATGGAGGTGAATCTTTCCCTAAGACCTAAAATATAGTATGGTAGAAAGAGCACTAAGCTAAAAACCAAGGGACCTGGATCTGTTACTGGTTACTGGTGTGGCTTTGGGCCAGGAACTTCACTTGGGCCTCAAATTTCCTCATTTTTAAAATAAGGAGATTGAATTAGATGATCTCTAAGGAGCCTTCCAGTTCTTGAATTGTATAATTCAATCTACATTAAGTGTTGGAAGAAATTTACACACTGTAGGTTACTGGTTGGAAGTCAGCAGGGTAGGATGGTTAAAGAAGGTTAGAACTGGAAGGGACTTAAGAAGTCATCTCATCCAACCCCCTCATTTTACAGATAAGGGCTGGCAAGCACCATACTAAAAACAGACAAGGCAGGCGTGACCTGCCAAGGACCTTGGTGATCATCTAATAGCAGGGTGTGGTGGAAAAAGCAGGGAACCTGCCAGCACACATTCAGGACTTATAAAATTTCAACTACAAAACAAGATTTACAAAAACAACAGCCATAAATAATTAAAAAGATGTTCAATGTTCATGGTTGGGACAAGCCAATATGATAAAAACAATACTATTCAAATTACTCTCCAAATTTAGTATTCCATCGAATTATAAAAGGTTACTTTACAGAATTAGACACAATAATAATAAAATTCATGGAGTAATAACTGGAAAAGAATAGTAAAAGATGTAATAGTAATGTAATAGTAATAACGAAAATAGTAGGAAGGAGGGGCAGCTTGGTGTTCAAATCTTAAACTAGAGTATAAAGCAGTAATTACCAAAATTACCTGGTATCTGATAGAAAACAGAAATGTAAGATCACTAAATTAGATTAGATAAGCAATATCTAGATACAAATGTGTAGAGAGACGTCTAGTGCTCAATAAATGCAGGAACACAAACTTAGGGAAAACAGTCTGGTGAAAAATGAATTTACATCAATACCTTACGCTTTATACAACAATAAGTTCCAAATGGATAAAGTATATAAATAATCACACCATTAAAAAATAAGAGAATAGGTTACATCTTTCACAACTATGAATAGGAGAAAAACTACAATCAGACATGGAATAAAATGGATCACAAAAGACAAAATGAACAATTTTGAATAGAGAAAATGTAAAAGTTTTTGGACAAATAAAATCAGTGCAGCCCAAATTAGAAAAAAAAACCATACCAATCGGGGGGAAAATCTTTATATTAAGAAAATGGTTAAAAATATGACATCCAAAATGCAAATTGAAACAAACATGTATTTCCCAAGCAGCTAAAGAATATGAACCAACAATTCTCAAAAGCAGGACTTGCAAACTATTAATTATATTAAAAAGTCCTCAGAATAAATAAATGTAAATTAAAGCCTTAAGGCATCAGATCACACCCATCAAAGAGTCAAGATACTAAAAGATTGGAAAGAGAATATTTATTGATAGGGCTGTAGGAAAAACATATTAATTCACTGGTTGTCAAACTGTGAATTGGTTTAGCCATTCTGGAAAACAATTTGGAACTAGGCAAGAAAAGATACTAAGTTGTTTATACCTTTTGACCTGGAGATTCCATTACCAGGCCTATATCTCAAAGAGGGTACAGATAGTAAGAAATGACCCAGACATACAAAAATGTTCATAGCAGCATTATTCATTATAACAAAAATATGGAAACAAAATATGTAACCAATGATTAGAAAGAGGCTGAACAAATTGTGGCATATAAATGTGTTATTATGTCATAGAGAATTACAAATTTGAATTCAGGGGAAAATGTAAAGACTTACGAAATTATACAGAGCAGAGAAAGTATAATCAAAAGAAAATAAATTCAATAACTACAACAATGCAAATAAAGTCAATAAGGAGAGGTAACAACACTATGGTAAATCATGCCAATCAATGTTAGTACCATAGTATTAAAATTTAAGGACTCATTCCTATAAACATCCACTACATGGTTTTGGGGGATTGTTCATTGTAAGAGAGCATTTTGAGGTCCAAATATATGATCCTATGATAAAGTGTCTTGTGTCAAAACAAAATGTACCAGTATACTTAAAAATGCATTAGACTGCAATTCAAAGGTTCCAGATCTGGCACCACTTTGCCCCAAATTGCTTTTTCTTGTCTCAATCTCTATAAAATGAGGTTGTTATAATCGACTTCTTTTTCTCTTTGTGCTCTAAAGGTAGCATTGGATGGGACCTAGTAACACCCTGGATAGTCATTAGAGCAGGGTGCTGGAGACCACAATAATAAACACACCAAACAGTAGTAACTTGCCAGAACTTGGGCAATTAAGTAGCGGCGGAGAAAGGGGAACTGTTCTGGGAGGTAGGTGACCTGGGTACTGTCAACCCCTGGGAATCCCTGAGCTACCCTAATCACTTGGTTGGTCTGAGCTTTTGTAGAGGTTGACATTACTAACTAATCCAAGCTCTGCAACTGACTGACTACCTGACCATTTTGAGTCGTCACTTTCTCTTTCTGGACCTCAGTATGATCTTTTAGAAAATGACACAACTGGGTTAGATGATTTCTAAGACCCCAATTTTGGCCTAAAGTTCACCTCATCAATATAATATATATAATCTCAACTGTCTTCCTTAGCCTTCTTCCCAACTAAGAACAAACAGTTTTAAATATTGAGATTATATGGGTTTAATTATCAAAATGGGCAAATGGATTTTTGTGGTTAGTTAGGCAAGCCTGTGCAGGAAAAATAAAATACTGGTCTCATAAAATACAGCTTATTTAATGAGCACTGGACAGTGAATCACGAGACCTGGGTTCTGGTCCCAGCTCTTCTACTTATTTACTGTATATCTCTGAGGAAACACCACTTCCCCTTCTTTCTAGGTCTGTTTTTTCATCTATAAAATGGGGACATAAAAAGTTCCCATTCTGTTCAAATGGTGTTAGGGTTCTATCTAGTTCAAGGCACTGGATGGGGTCAGGTGGGGACTTGGGGGTATTAGCAGGGCAGAAGGTTGGCTAGCAGGATATCAAACAAGGCAAAAGTTATCTGACAGTACCATAGACTAGAAGTTTGGAAACTTGAAACTTGGTGCTGATTCTGCCATGAAGTGAAAATATCACCTTAGGCATATTACTCTTCTCAAATCTGGGGCTGTTTCCTCTTTTGTAAAATGAGATGTCTAAGGCCTCCTCAAGCTCTGAAGTGGGAAGGAATCTCACAATGAGGGACACTGAATGGGGTTTGGAAGCTATTTAGACCTAGGGGGTGAACAAGTAAGCAAAGTAGGAGGGGTATAGAGGTCACAGAATTAGAATGGGACTTTCAGGTCATTTGAGACCAGCCTTCTAATTTTAGACTTTATTCTGGAGAACAAGATATTAAACAGACCACAGTAGCCTGGCCAGGGTTTTAGTGACCAAGAGTGGCAGAAAACACTTTGAATTGTGAATCAACAGACTTGATTTCTATAGTTCTGGCTCAGCCACTGATTCTCTATTTAATCACCTTGGGCAACTTGGAATAGTGGTAAGAGAATTAGATTTGGAAGCAGAAAACTAGGATTCAAATCATGGCTCTGCTCCTAAGGCCCTTAAATATTTGGGTTCTTGTCTAACTTTGAGCAAGTTCATTCTATTTCTCTGGGTCTGACTTTTCTGTAAAATGAGATTAGACTAGAAGATTTCCAAATCCCCTTCCAGGTCTAAAGGTGGGTCCTGCTAGAGGAGAAAGAACATTTGGAATAGGATCAAACACGGGGCTTTGGTTGAGAGAGGGAGAGGGTGGAGAAAGGAAGACTGGGATCCCGGCCAGGCACTAGTGACCATCGAGTGGCAAAGTGACCCTGTACCTGTATCTGGAGATAACAAGAGCCATTTGCCACGAGGATTGCACCTCCCCTGCAGGCTTATGGTAGTAGAATAGGGGAGAAAGGTGAATGTGGCTCTCTGACGGGTCATTCTATTTCTCTGAACCGGGAATCTGGAGGTTTCCTCTTGGCTGTGCTCCTGACCCCACGGGTCACCTAGCTATCGACTAGATTCCCCATCTCTGGGACCTAATCTCCCCACTGAAGGTACTGGATGAACTTATCTTTAAACAAAAATCTGCTCGACCCCTCCCCAGGCTGAGGGTCAGCAGGGTAAGGGTCAAGGCATCGTGAAAAAGTGGGGGAAAGGGCCCCTCTTTTGGAATCGGAGGAGCTGGGCTTGAATGCCAGGTGTCACTTTACTGCCTGTGCAACCTCGGGGAAGTCCTTCAGTCTCTGAGGCTCCGTCTCCTCATCAGTGCAATGAGATGGGTGGGCGCGATGACCTCCGCGGTCCCCTGTCGCGCCGGGAAGGCTCACCGTGGCGGTAGGGGTCATACAGCGCCATGCAGGCGGCGCCAGCCGCCAGCAGCGCCTTCTGTAGCGGGCTGGTGGGAATGTGGCCTGGGTAGAGCAGGCCCAGGCCCGTACTGCGGCCGCCCGGGAGAGCTGCCGAGTTCGAAGCCGGGCTACGGGCGCCGAACTGGGGTCGAGGTAGTAGGCCCGAGAGCCGAGACTGGCGGAGCAGCGTCGCCATGGCAGCGGCCCCTAAAGGAAGAAAGGGCAAAGTTAATCCTCCGCTCAACTAGCTGCGACGGAGTCGCGCAGAGACCAAAAGTAGTGCGATCGCGCCCGCCGGTTCCCAGCTATCTTGTTCTCTAATTTTCTTAGGGCTCTTCCGACCCGTCAGAGAGCCACATTCACCTTTCTCCCCTATTCTACTACCATAAGCCTGCAGGGGAGGTGCAATCCTCGTGGCAAATGGCTCTTGTTATCTCCAGATTGAACCAGTCCTATTCTAGGCTTCTGAGTTATGTTTCTCTCCGGGACGGTAAGAATGTACCACTTCCGCTCTAGGAGTATGGCGGCGCCCAGCAAGGGACCCTATTTATTTCCTGGACGCTGGTTACGTCACTTCCGTTGATCTCTTCATAGAATGCGAGCATGGGTTCCAAGGGCTCCACTCGCCTTCATGGGCTCTTCGCAGTCTACAAGCCACCTGGGTTGAACTGGAAACATCTGCGGAACACTGTGGAGCTTCAGCTCCTGAAGGGTGAACGATTCGGTTTCCTGGCCCGTGTACCCCTCCCAGTCCCTTTCCTTTCCTCCACGACCTGCTCTATGCACTAACTTTACTTAACTGCTATGAACACTTACTAAGAGCCAACTACGGGTCAGGCCTGTTGTGTGATCTTGGATAGGTTACTCCCCATCTTTGTTGCAGTTGCTTCATCTCTAAAACGAGCGGGTTGCATTAGATGATCTCTAAGGCCCTGTCTTTGCATTCTTTTCCCCAGCCCACCCCCTCCAGGTAACCAGACCTCTCTTCCTTCCTCTAATAGGGAGATATTTATAGCAGCCCACTCCTTCTCATTGCAATAAGCATGCTTTGAAGTCATGTGCTTAGCACAGTGTCCGGCACATAGTAAACTCTTAACAGTCTAATATCTCTATATTTTCCTGGTTTTCTTCCTTCCTTGCCCCAACCAGGGCCCTTTCCTCATCCAAGATTCCCCCTACCGCCTCTTTTCCAGAGCCCTAGATTTTAAAATCATATTTAGAACTGATAGGAACTTTAGGTAGCAGACATCTGATAAGCCAATCTCCCCATCCCCTGTTTTAGAGATGAGGAAACAATTCCACAGGGATTCTATCATATTGCTTCCCTTAGAACTAACATTTATGTAAGTTGTTTTAAAGTTTGCATATTGCTTTCTCACAATAACCCTGTGAGGTAGGTGCTGTTAATCCCTGTATTACAGATGAGGAAATTGTGGAAGTCAGAAGTTAAATGACTTGCCCAGGATCTTACAGCTAGTAAGTGTCCGAGAGAGGATTCAAACTTAAGGCTTCTGACTCCAAGTCTAACAGTCTGCCCACTGGACCACTTAAGTTGTTTATGATCTTAACTCTGGCTTCCCCCACTGAGTGACTTAAAGGTCGTCACTTTTCCTTTTCCCTTATTTTACCAGGAAAACAGGGACCTGATATTTGAAGTGTCTTGGCCAAGGTTAGAATAGCCCCAGACCCAGAGCTCGTTCCTGAAGTCCACACCATGTCATCTTTTTTATTTTCCTCTGCTCCCTCATACTATCTACTCATCTTTCAGGCCTCAACTCACAGATGCAATATACCCCTCAAGAGCACATCCGGTTCCTGCTTGGGCCCATGGAAGGAAGTGAAGGGAAAGAACTGACCCTCACAGCCACTAGTGTTCCGGTCCTTTCTGAGCACCCTTTAGGTAAGATGATTCTGGGGCTTGTCAGTAGGGTCACTTCCCATAAAGCAGGCAAAGAATGCAATTCAGTTCAATGCAACAAGTATTTAAATGCCTACCAGGAAACCATGACAGGTTGTTGGGGGGGGGCATTTATTTATTTGTTTGTTTTTAACATTTAAAAAATTTTTTTGAGTTATGAATTCCCTCTCTCCTCCACCTATTGAGAAGGCAAGCAATATATCAGTTATACATGTGAAGACCATAACAGTTATTGGTGATAATAAGTTTTAAAAATGAAAGGTTCTGCCCGCAAGGAGCTTACATCCTAAGGTAGAAGTTCTTAACGTTTCTTGTGTCATGGACTCCCTTGGCAATCTGTTGAAACCGATAGACCACATCTCAGAATAGGTTTTTAAATGCATAAAATAAAATAGATTAGATTACAAAGAAAACCAATTATATTAAAATAAGGTTGTACTTTTTTCCTATTAAAGTTCTTGGACCCCCTGAAATCTTTCCACAGAGCTCTTGGGCATCCATTGATCTCTGGAAGGCACCAGCAAGTGGGGGTGTCAAGGAAGGACAATGTAAAAAGGTGGCACTTGAGTTGAGTCTTCAAGGCATCTAAAGGACCTAAGAGGCTGAGATAATGATGGAGTGAATTTCAGAGAGTGCACTGGGCAGAGAGGCTGGGGTTTGATGATGGGGAGTAGCCAATGAAAAGCACAGAGATGGGAGATAAGAGTACCATGTGTATGGAACAGTAATTTGACCAGTATGGCAGGACCATAGAGTGAGTGAGTGAGTGTGTATGTGTTTGTGTGTGTTAATGTATAAGAGAGCCAGGTTGTGAAGAGCTTTAGGAGCTAAATAAAAGACTTTATATTGGATTCATATTCTATGTGAATAACATGTATGTGTTACATATGATTATATGTAGTGCAAAAGGCTAGGCTAGAATCTTTAGGAGCCAGTAAGGGATGAATAAAAGGATTGCCTTGTAGCAGTAATGGCCCCATTGAGGTTGGATGGTATAAATTTATAGTGGATACATGGTTTCAGGAACACCATCATTATCCAAGACTGGAATAATGGAGTAAATTGTTGGAGGATAATTTCCAAAGGCTGTAGGATAAGGAGGATCCAAAATCTAAGATTTATAGCTACAAGGGACTTTAGATATACTTAGATTTGTTTGTAGATTAAGACCCAAAGAGATAAAAGTGACTTACTGTTAGGTTATACAAAAAGTAAATGACAGAATTTAGTATTTGAACTGAAGTCCTCTGACTTTAAATCTGTTGATCTGTCCCTTTGCTGCCCCAAGATAAGTAAATAGAAAATAAGCAGAATAATACACAGGAAAATCCTGATGATGCCAGGTCATTTATTCTGGGCCTGCTGGCACTATTCCCCTCATCCTTTAGAACAGCAGTTGGCCAACTGTAGTTTTCAGGCCAAATCTAACCCACTACCTGTTTTTGTATGACCTGTGAGCTAAGAATGGTTTTGACATCTTTATAACAACTTTTAAATTGTCAAAACCATTCTTAGCCATACAAAAACAGGCACAGCCATAGTTTACCGTCCCCTGCTCTAGAAGTACAAGCATTGCATGCTGCTTTATCACTTCTCTGATGAAATACTCAGTTACCCTGCAGGTAGATCCAGGGACACTTACTAAGGTGGGTCTGGACATGGAGCATAGTGTCCTGACTTGAGTCTTATTTTCAGTCTTCTCGGAGCCTTTCATTCCAATCATTGCAATCATGTGGGCAGATGAGAGGATTTATGCCATCACTTAATAGAAATATTTTCTCTTTGAGGCCAGAGTTAGTTTGGGAACCTTTTGTTGCACAAGGAAAATTCTCTTGACTATATTTTTTCCTTCCTACTTGTGATATGCTTAGAAGCAGTCATAGCTCAGTTCCATCCCCAGGCTCAAGGAAATGATTATGTCTTCAGGGAGGGGAAACAGACTTTTCATGTCCAGCACTAACAGGACATGTAGCCAAAACTGTTCCTGGTTTGGATTTCTCTGGAGCAAAATATTTCAAGCAAATAAGTCTTGAAAACCAGAGTCACTGACTGAAATTGCCTGAAAAATTGGAGGAAAACTATGTGATCCTGCCACTATCCCAAACCCAGGCTTATTTTCAGAATCTTCAGTGGTCTCAAAAGAGTTCTTCTTGGGCCCCAGAGATGCTATTGCCACATTACTCCATGGACCTCACATATTTCATTTCTTTCCAGTGAGAGGGCCAAATTACAGGAGTGTGAAGGTGGGCGTCGGGCACCGGCTGGATGTGAAGTCATCTGGAGTGCAGGGTAGGCAGGATCGGTATGCTTTGGATTGAGTAGTTTCTGCATGAGAGAGCAGAGTGGCTTCTTGGAGGGTGGGATTAACAAGAAATAAATGCCCTGTGGAGGAGGGCAGGATAAAAGAGAATAGTAAGTATCCCTCCCGCCCCCCACCAAAGAATTGTGAAATTTTGTGTCAAGGCCAAAAAAAGTTCCTCTGAGAATCTTTCCTACAGTCATTCCTTGTTCGTTGCTCTGTTATTCTAATTACCCTCCCTGACCCTCCCTTGGCCCAGGTCTTTGATATACTAGGGTGGGGGTTATAGGCCAATGAGGGTAGTTAAAACTTTGGGCCTTGTCCTAGGGCCAGGAGTCAGGAAATAGAAGATCACATTTAGAATGTGTAAACATGTGGTTCTGGTCCTGTTGGTAGGCATTTGGACATATCTGTCATCAGAAACCACAGTGCCCGGTTCAGAAGGACAAGAACCAGCTAGCAGCTGCTTCTGTGCTGTCTGTGGCCATGGAGTCAGTGACCACATCCTCCGGATGGGTCCAGTCACAGTCGGTCCTTTGTATTATTCCTGCATTTCTCCCAACCCCCCAGTCCCCAGTAGGACTCAGGCTGGACAGACATGATCTCATTTTGCTGTCCTTTTTTTCTTCACTCTACAAGAGGGATTAGGGGAAATTTTCTCCTTCAACCAGAACAAGAAACTGAGACCAGAACTTGCCCAGAGAAATCCTATGTCAGAATCTTATGTGCTTGCTGACCTTCTGTGATAGACAAGACAACAGTGTTAAGAGAACAGGGCAGAGAATCAAGGCAGGATCAGAGCAAGAACCCCTGATAAAATAGCAACCCCCAGATACAAAGGACCTGAGGAGCTGGAGATGAACTGTCGAATTGGTATCTTTCAGTGCTCGGTGTGGGACGTGGAAACAAGCTGCTCACAGACATCTACAATGCCCATCTCACCAAGGTACTTGTTGGGAGTGCTCAATTCTGGTGATTAGCTGTGTGGCCTCTGGCCTTGAATGAATCATTTAGCCCCTGAGGCTCAGTTTCTTCATTTGTAAAATGGGCAGGGATCATAATTCCTGTTCTACCAAACTTCACATAGTTGCTGTGAAGCTCTGCAATGTATTACGAAATTCCTTGTAAAGTATAAGGAAGCTCTGCAATGTATTACAAAATTCCTTGTAAAGTATAAGGGGGGTACAAAGGTGAGGGCTTATTATTTTTATTCCCTCAAGGCCTGAACCTCAACCTCCAGCAACTGAATGGGTCTCATCGCCTCTTATCTATATCTGGAATCAGGATTTCATCGGCCTCTGGAGAATAAATGAATTAACTAACATTTATACAATACTTGTAGTGTGAAAGTCCATGTGGTTGGTATTGTAAGGACTACAAAACAGCGGAAGACATAGAATCGTAAGAACCTAAACGTCATTTATTTATTCATTCAAAGATTACTTACTCAGCACCTGCTATGGATAAGGCACATATACATGAAAAGTTAAGTAGTACTGAAAAAGATGGTAAGGCAGTGCAGGGTGTGTGGGGTCCATCATGGTCCATCGAGTGGAACAGAGACACCCTGCTGATGTTCAGAGCAGGGAGGGAGAGGTCACTGTACCTTAGGAAGGACTCGTGGAAAGAAGTGGGGTAAGCTAAACCTTAAAGGATAGGGGAAAAGAAATTTAGAAGGGATTTTTTGAAGGCTAAAGGAGGAGGGGAAGTTGGGCTCTGAAAGTGTGGAGGATCACTTTCATAGGGCTCAAATCTCTTCCCAACCCTGATTTTATTCCCCACCCAAGAGTGGTGCTCCTTAGAAAGTAAGCCCCTGCAGGGAGGCAGAGGAGCACCAGAAGAACTGGTCAGGACCAAAGAGCACACACTTTTGAGGGAGGGGACTGCCCTCTCTACTGCTCTGTACCCAGCCAACTATGGGTGCACAGTAACTATTTATTGGATGGCCTGCTTCACTGTCCCATCCTGTAGGTGCATAGTAAATAGTGGGTGACTTGCTTCATGTCCCTTGACTTTGTGGCATTTAGCATGGCTGTGACTATCTAAAGTGTTCCAAAGTTCCAGAGTTTAGTAAGTTGTTTCCATGGGATTCCAGTGAAAGAGCAGGAAAATTGATGCTCCCCGTATCCCTTCTCAAAGGATTACACAGTTCGTGGGCTCCTGGGCAAAGCCACAGATGACTTCTCTGATGAAGGCAGGCTGATTGAAAAGACAACTTATGGTAAGAGCGTTGGAGAGTTCAGGGACCAGGGAATATACTTGGGGCTGTTGATTGTGTGATGTCTCCAGGCTTTCTGGAGGACACCGAGGCTTTTGACTACAAAATCTCTCCAAGGTTAATTCCTGAGCTAGTGCTCAATAGAAAAGGTCAAGCATAGCTTGGGGCTTAGTAAGCAGATTCCTAGGATAGAAGAAATAAAGCTGAATTTGGAGTCAGAGGACCCAGGTTCCAAAATCCTGACTGACTCTAGTATTTTCTACCTGTGTGACCTTGAATAAGTCACCTAAAACCTCCCTGGGCCTTGGTTTTCTTATCTTTAAACTGAGAGAGCTGGACTAGATCCCCTCTAGCTCTGAAGTCTTTGATCCTGGTGTCCCTGTAGAGTCTTCATGGCATGGTTGTTACCCATGGTAAAAGTCAAGGAGGCAGATTTTGGTTCAATAGAAGAGAACTTTCTAATAAGCAAGCATTACCTGACAGTGAAGCAGGATGCTTTATGAGCTTTCTGTCACTTGAAATGTTTGAGTGGAAGCTGGAAATCCACATATCACAGAGCTGTGATGCTATGGAAGGTATTCGTGCACTGACCTCATAGCTATCTGCACCCCTAAGGTCCTCTGTCACTTTAAGGTTCTAGGAGTCTGAAATGCTCTTATTCAGCCCCTGGCAGTACTGCTCCTCAGCCAAGGAGGGGTCTGAATTCTAAGCAGACACTCTTGGACTTCCCCAGTGATTTACCCTGGGGCGGTGGCAGCCGATAGGATAGGGATAGATTTGTCCCCCGTTAGTTCCCCAGTGGCCTGAGGCTCATCTATTGCCAGTACCTTTGATAAGAAGGTATAGGACAAGGGCAGATCAAACCGTGGGCTCTCCCACAGTGTGGTTATCCACATGAAATTAGATTAAAATGAATTTTAAAAGGAGAGAGAAATCACATTGGGGTAACAAGGAGGCTGAGGAGGCCTGTGGGTGGAATTTGGGTAGCCTTACTCATTCGCCTTGGTGATTATGACATAATTTAATGGCAGGGGGGCAGGTAAATATGCTAGGCCTTTTTTAGCATCAGCTGGAAAGCCCCTTTTCTCTGCTGGCCAGTGCTTTGCATCACAAAGCTATCACTCCTGTGCCCTGAGGGAGGGGGAAAGAATCACTCTATTAATGGCCTAGTGCCATTAAGTGCTAGGGCCCCAGCTCCCAATGGGTCAGCTATGTGGGAAGGTGTGAGCATCCCAAGAATGTGCCAGAGGGCTGGTGTGGGTACAACAGTCTGTTTGCTCCTAAGAGCCAACTCTTCCCTTGCCCTTGGTGCATGCCAGCTCCAGAGGTTGGAGAGAGAAATAGAAGGCGGAGATTTGAGAAGGTATGAAGAGATGGTGAGCTGAGTGGGGTGAGGGTAGCTTCCCTTTGCCCCACCCCATGCAGGTGGTTCTGCTCTAATATCCATTGGCTTTCCCAGATCATGTGACCCCAGAGAAGCTCAGCAGAATCCTGGCAGTCATCCAAGGCTCCCATCAGAAGGCATTGGTAATGTAAGTGTCCAGACTGGACTGCCTGCCCTCCCTCACCCTTTCCCACTGGAGGCAATAAATGACAAGCTGGAATCTAGTCTGTAGCACCCATGTTGTGTTGGCTACAGTTCTTGTCTTGGGCTGACTTTCCTGTTTGTTCTCTGAAGCCTCTGGGGGAAGTTCACCCAGATCTTCTCTCTTATCAAATTTCTCACATTGCCACTCCCAGAACTCTCCCACTCTTCTCCAGGTCTGGCACCCCTGGTCCTCTCGCTCAACAGATGATCATGCTTCTTAACTTTTTGTTGAAAAGTCTTAGGTGCTGACATCATTCGGTAGGAGCCTCCCTCCCTTGAAAAAGGTCTTCTTCCTTTTAAAAATTTTAATATGTTTTATTCTTAACTTAAATACAAAAAAAAGTATTTTCATACATACAACAAAACACACCAAAAGGATTGTATATGAAACCATGAATCTCCATTTCAAACCACAGTTGTCCTGCTTGTTTGTGTTTCTTACTCTTCTCTGCATTTTTTACAGAATTACAATGTCCCCTGCCTTTTTTCTTGCCTCACTATTGCTGCCCCCTCCCCTGTCCAGACCCACCTTCCAAATAAAAACCAAGAAAGAAAAAAACCCATTTCATAACAAGTAAGTATAGTCAGGAAAAAGGAATACACAGTGGCAATGTCCAGAAATGTATGTCTTGTTTATCATCTTGCATCTCTCACTTCTCTGTCAGCAGGTACAGAACATACCTTACCCTAGGTCCTCTGGAGATGTTGTTGATCATTGATTGGTCAGAGTTCTTAAGTCTTCCCAAGTTTGGTTTGTTTTTGTTTTTTTTTACACTGTTTCTGTTCTTATATATATTGTTTTCCAGACCTCCTTTCTCAGGTTGTCCCCTATCCTTGTACAGTCAATCCCATCTCCTCCTGACTCCTGAGACCTTCGTTTTTTGCTTGTTATCTTGTATCTTACATCGCTTCCTCTCCACTAACGGTTTCCCTTCTCTCTACATAGACGCTTAGATGACCTCCCGTCCTCAATAAGAACAGCAGCAAATCTTCGTAACCTCATTACTCCCTTGAACTCTCATTATTAATACCTCCTCTACTTCACTCATTCCCTTTCTAACATTTGTAAACATTTCCTTTCGAACATTTCCCCCCCACTGCTGTTCTTTGCAAAGGTACCAGTGAGCCAGGTGCACATCTGTTATATCTGCTACCAGGGAGGATGAGGATGGTGAATCTCTTGACTTTAGGAGTTCTGAATTGCTCTTAGCTGCGGGCTAAGCTGATCAAGGATCCCACAGTAAGTCCAGCATTACTATGGTGAGATCTCTGGAGCAGGGGGACACTGAGATTGAAAAGAACTGGTCAGCCCTCCTGTTCCTATTATAGTTGTATCTAACTGTGAGTAGTTCCTACACTTTCACCATGGGTAAGATGGGAAGACCCAGTCTTAAAAAAAAAAAAAAGTTACCATGTACCTTATCACCAAATTTTTCAGCCCTCATCTTCCTTAACCTCTTGGTAGCACTCTTACTCCCTTCTTCTTTCTGTTAATTCTGTGTTGTTCCTTGGATTCTACAGATCCTGATTGTCTACCTTTCTGACTTCTACAATGGTCCTCTCACTGACCCCTGACCAAAGACATTGCAGCAAGGTTTTGTTGTCACCCCCTCTTTCTCCACATTCTCTCCCTTACTCATTTCATCTATTCCCATGGTTTTAATTATCACTTCTGCGCAGTTGACTCCCAAATCATATGTCTACTAGATGTCCTGCCAACACCTTAGACTTAAATAAGCCTCAAAACAAATTACTGGTCTTCACTTCACCCCAAACCATCGTTACTCTCTGACTTCCCTATTTTGACTAATGGCACCACCACTATCTGTGTATCTTGATAGCTTGGGAGTCACAGATGACTTCTCCCCAAACTCCTATATCAAACTAGTTACCAAGTCCTGTAGTCTAGTTCTTGCAAATCTATCATCTTTCTGGTTGTTAGCCCTTTCTTGAAATTTATCTGCATACAAGTGAATGCCTTCCAGTAGAATATAAGCTCCCTGAGGACAGAAAGTATTTTCTTTCTTTCATTTTTTTTGCCTTTGTAGTCACAATGCCTTGTACATAGTATCCACTTAATAAATGTTCATTGAATTTCATATCTGTTGTCTCATCTCCTTTCCCCCTACAACAACCAGAATTCTCTGTTATTGCAACAGGATCCTAATTGATCCTCCAGCTTCTCCTGGATCTGATTCATGTTGTATAAAATACTACATTAATCATCCCCAAAGACAGTTCTGATAATGTCACTCCCCTGCTCAGAAACCTTCACTGGCTCCCCACTGCCTATAGAAATAGTATCAAACTCAAATAGAAGCGGGATCCCTGTGCTGTATATTGACTTGGAGAACCACAAATGTAAATTATCTATGTTATATTTTTATTTATTTTGTGAAACATTTTCCAAACACATTTAATCTGGTTTGAGCTGCTCAGGCATTTGCCAAGAATTTGACACCTCTGACCCATAGGAAAAACTAAGATTTCTCAGTATTCTGAGAATGAAGGTAATCCTGAGTATGAAGACTTAGGAAATAGTTATATTCCCATGTAGTAAACCTTTAAACTATCTTTTCAACCATATCTCCCACTACTTCTCCTTTGGCCAAGCTGAAATAGTTTCTGTTCCCTAAATGTGCCATCTCTTTGTCTTTGCTCATTATTCTCTCTGCCTGAATGCTGTCCTATCCAGTTTACCCTTTAAAGCCCAAGTCAGTTTTTTTTTTTAAAGCCATTCCTGATTTCCCTCCAGCCAGATGTGATCACCTCCTTAGAATGAATCATTTCATGAGGTATATGCCTTCTATGACACATCTCATATCGTATTCCACCTTGTATTATTCTTAGTGACCTCATCTTATTCCCCTTACTATATTATTGGAGTCCAAGGACAGGGATTTTATCTTTCATTTGTGTATCCTTAAAAATGCCTCATAGTTGCTCAATAAGCATTTGCCAAATTGAATTGAATCTCCCTGGCCTTTCATGACATTAAATTCCTTTTGGTTAGGCAAAAGGGCAAGGAACAGCTTTCAAGAGAACCCCATTTGGAGTCGGGAATGGAAGACACATCAACTTAATTCCAAGTTTTTTCATGAGGTGGTCATTGAAAATTGTCATCCTCTTCTCTAGGTATTCCAATCTCGACTTGAAGACTCAAGAGGCTTATGAAATGGCTGTGAAAGGGTTAATCCGGCCCATGGACAAGAGTCCAATGCTGATTACAGGAATCCGATGTCTCCAATTTGCACCTCCTGAATTCCTCTTAGGTAGGATTTGGGAGGGGGGAAAATCAGGACAGCATGAGAGTAGGAGAATGATAGGGCTCTACTTCCATGAAGGTAACCTTAGGGTAACCCTGGAAGATAGTTCTCAATCCTTAGTGACAGTAACTCCCTTGTCAATAACCCCAAATGGTCTGAGCAGGGCTGTGAGGCCTCACAACATGGTCTTCTGCCATGGCAGTTCATGCGGGTTCTTAGGGTCTCCAGCTTCTTCCCACCCCCAGTGCTAGGACCTTGCCAGATAACAGACTTCACAGAACAAATGCTCTCATGTCTCATGCCAAAGCACTCTTTGATGCAGATTCCTGGCAAGCAAAGGTTATATTTAGAGGCTTATTCCCAGAGTTGAATGGTGTTTCATGTTGTTGTCAAAGCTCCCCTAGTGAATTTCACTTTCGCTTTGGCCTCATTCAGTTCCCTTCTTTCTTCCTGATCCCTCTTCTGGATTGCTTTTCCTCTTCCTTGCTTCCTGCACTTCTATCCTTGCTCACACTCCCTTCTCTTTAACTCTTTGTCTGTTGCCTTGGTACAGAGATTCGGTGCATGCATGAGACCCAGCAGCTGCTCCGTCGAGTGGTGCATGAGATTGGACTGGAACTGAAATCAGCTGCTGTCTGTACCCAGGTGCGCCGGATCCGAGATGGGGTCTTCACCCTGGAGGATGCCCTCCTGCGGACACAGTGGGACATGCACAGCATTGAGAAATCAATCCAAAAAGTGGCACCCCGAATAGAGGCAGAGCTAAAAAAGTGCCAAACAGTAGCACTGTGCCATAGAGACCCTGTGGGACAACCTTCTTCCTAACAGATCCAGGTCACAGGCAAACTCAAGTAAACTTTCCCCATGGGCTAAGCAGAATGAGGCATACAGCATTAGGAAAGAACAGCAGGGGAGGGTGCTGAAATGGTGTGGGAGCTGGCAAATACCTAGATTGCAGGAGACAGACAAGGGAGATCCATGGCCTGACTGAGGTTAGGGAGTTCATATACTGCAAGGAGGAAGACTTGGGAAACTTTAAAAATGATCCTTGTCGGTTCAGTAAGTAAAAGGCCCTGCCCCATGGCTCTTGTATAAGGAAGCGACTTGGTGTTTTTGGTCTAGTGAACCTAGTTGAGAAGGGCACCTCTGAAGCAGCATCCTGGGCTGCCTCGTTGAATCTGGTGGGATCTGGCCGATGTCAGAGGGAAAGTGGTGGTAGAGAGGTGGAGACTCCAGGAAAAAGTAGTGAGAAGACAGGCACAGCAAAGGAGGAGAAACTGCTATTCTTCAGTGCTTATGCAGTTTTGAGAAGACCCCTTCTAACCTGTCTTGAGAGGGAGGAATCGGGAAGAACTGAGATTTCTCTGAAGAACTCAGAGCACATAATAGCTGGGATTGCCCTAGCTTTTGGCACAGAGAGGGGAAACTGAGATATGGTTTTGTGGAAATCAAATAGAAACCAGGTCTTTATCTCTTCGCTTCTTCTTTGACCCCTAAATCTCTAGGCAGGGTAGTATTGGGAGAAAGATGACTGAACTTTGTGTCAGAAAACCTGAGTCTGAATCCCAGTTTTGCCTTTTTCAAGCTAGATGACCATGGGCAACATCACCTCACCTTTCTGAGCCTTAGTTTCCTCAACTAAAAGAATAAGGATTGTGATACGCATTTCCTACCACACAGTTATTGTGAGGATCAAATGAGATTGTGTGTAAAGAATTTTGTAAACTTTTCAAGTGCTGTATGAGGGTTAGGTGCTGCTGTCCAGCAATAACCCAAGACCACTTTCTAACAGCTCCCAGCTTTAGGATGGTGGATATCTGGGTGAAAGGCTGAGCAGCACAGGTGACTTTTTCTAAACCCCATTTCAGAGGTCTGGGCATTGCTTTTTGGCTTGTCACTTTACTTGAACTCAATAAAGGCTTGACCTCATGTGTTTCCCTGGGGATGGGGCTAGTTTAGAGGTAAAAAGCAGAGTTTGTTGCCTAACAACCAAGAGATTGGGGATTAGAAAACCCTGCTAAGGAGGGGACTTTGAAATTCTAAATAGACAACTTTTCTCCTGCCTTCTCTCTTCATCCTTCCTCTCCCCAAATCCCCCCCCTCCACACTACTGTACATGTAGGTGTCAGAGGCAGGTTTAGACCTCAGAGGCTGGGCTAGTAAGGAGCTTCTAGCACCCTAGCCTTATAGGCAGGTATGGGGTCTGCCTAGTAGTAGTCAGGTCATAATGAATGGTAATAACCTTGCAGATAAACTCTAAGCATCAGCTCCACCCATCATTACTCATACCACCCTTGTACCCTCTGGAATGTATCCACCCCTTTTGTTAAGCAAATTAAGGTTTTTGCTCTCTGGAAATATGTTCTATTTCCAACAAATACAAACTCCCATAAAATCCAAATGGATTATCAAGTCTGATATTGCCTTCCTGCCTTGATTCTCCCTGCCCAACTTGGGCTCAGGGATGGGTTAGGAGCGTTCATTTCTTCTCTCTTCTTCATTTCTATTCTGCCAGGATAGCTAATTTTTAGAAAGCTCCATTTCAAGTATATCCTTCACCTTTCATATGAGTATTTAAAAATTCTTGCTACATAGAATTGAGTTTCTGCTCTTTCGTGTACCACAGCCTAGATTTCTTTGAGTACCTACCATTCATTCACCCCTACACATTTAAAGAATGCTTTCTTAGCACTTGACTGGACTGGTAATGTTCAGATAAGACATTCCCTGGAGTTTACAGTCTAGTGAGGAGGGATGAGAGATATATACAAATAATTTATACAATACACATATGAAAGTATAGTAAGAGCAGGACCAAGTACTGTGATTTCATTGGAAATATTAATTTCAGGGTACCTTTATTCTTAGCACTGTGCTAGCTACTGTAATTACATAAGAAATACGGGACACAATCCTAGCCTTTGACATATAGTTCTTTCCTGTCGTATATCTCTGCTTGTTCATTTACCTCACAACCTCAGGTCCTTTTTCCCTCTGACTATACTTTAAGACTTCCACTTTTGTTTTTCTTCACCCTCCACCGTAATCTTGGCTCTTAAGGTAGCATTTTTTCTGGCCCAATTTTTATGGGTGTTCTATAAATGCTTATTAACTTAAGGCCCCACATAAAGAAAACAGGTGCCCCCAGGGCCCATAGTCTGCATAGCATTCACACAAAATAGCATGCCCTTGATGGCTTATACTGCTGGGTCCTATCAAAATTCTTTCTCCTGGCCCGTCAGCTAAACAGTAGTTACTGTACATTTCACCAAAGGAAAGAAATGAAGGACAGCAAGGAGCTCTTCTTCGTCTCTAATGACAGGTCACAGTGAAGTGGTTTCAGTATCAGCAGGTAGGATTGATGTTAGTCATCACTAAGAATTTCCTGTTTGTGTTGTGAGATAATGGTATATGCAATGAAGGGAGGTGACAGGATCATCCTTGCAGGAGATGGTTGACCAAGAGTACCATCTATTGGGTGGTTAAGGGGAAGCAGGGTGTGGATCTCTAGGTTCCTTTCTGCCAAAGGATTTTGCAATCTAGTAATACAAGTTGGTGTAAAAGTTACCTTTCCTGGAGCACTTGGAAAAAAACCAGCGTAGTCAGAAAACCTGTGCTCTAGTCACTTAGTGATATAATCATGGACAAATTACCAAATATGAATGAGCATTGGTTTCATCATTTATGAAGTGGAGGTAATTAATTCCTGTCCTGTGTACTTCATAGTGTTATTGTGAGGATCAAAGGATATAATGTATGTGAATATATATGATTATATATATACACATATATATTATAACAGTGTAAGGTTGGCATCATTAACATTTGAAAGAGTTGGGATACTTTGAGGAGTCCCAGTGGGTAAATTCACCCATTTGTGAAGTTAGAGACTTCTAAAATGAGTGCCAGTGGAAGCAAAACAGTCCTGTTCCTTATCCTAACAAACCAGCTGGACAGGTTTGCTCTTTTTGTAAGGTGGATAAAGAAGCAAGGGAAACAGCCTAAGTCACCTCTAACAGGGAGCAGTTTTCCTTCTGCACAGTTTAAGGATTAGGGAAGGACTGAAGTGACTGTTTACCAAGAGAAAGTTATCCATCTATAGTTGATCCAAGTTGGCTAATGTTGGTTTTAGGGTTAGCAAAAGTTTGCTGTTTAAAAATAAAGTTGTGTTTAGATTTAATTTATGATAGTTTGAGGGGATTTAACATGTATGGAAAACACTGTAACCTTAAATTCCTATATAATTATGAACTTTAAATAAACATGCTGTGTGCCCAAGATCATCAATAGGGAACTTGGAGGAATGAACACAAGAAACTTCCTCTTTTAGAATGCAAGCACTTCATTCCTTTCTAGTCTCTTGAAATTTCTAAAAATATATTTACTTTTAACTCCTGTGTTTACATTTTAAAGTTTCTACTAAGTTATGGTCTTTTTATCAGAAATACTTGGAGGTCCTGTTTCATTAAAGGTCCATTTTCTCCCTGTAGGATTATACTCATTTTTTTCTGGTTAAGTTATTGGTTATAAGCTTACTTTTTGCCTTTGGATTATGGTATTCCAAACGTTCTTCTCATTTGAAGTGGTAGCTGCCAAATCTTGTGTGATTCTGTGATTTCTAGGTACTTGAACTTTCCTTTTGGATGCTTACAATAATTTTTTTTTTCTTTTTAACCTGGAAACGGAATTTTGGCTTACATTTCTGGGAATTTTCATTTTGGGATGTCTTTCAGGAGGTGACGAGTGGATTCTATTTTTACTTTGCCTTCTAGTTCTGACACAAGAACCTTAAAGAGAATGGCCAGGAAAATACTTAATGCTTGATCTACTTTTATAGATTGGAGGAAAAAGCTGACTGCCAAGTCAGAAGTTTTTGAGAATGCTAAGCATAAGGTTTTAAGGTCTGTGAGAAATGGGGCAGATGATTAGGTTGAAGTATGAACCTGCTTATCTCCTGACCTTATAGTACCTGGTTTTCTATTATGGACAATAATGACTTAACTAGACACAAAATCTCTTCTCTGGAGGAAAGCTGTGCTCGTTACATGGATGACTATTTTGTTTTGTAATTGTAACCTTTAGCCTGGTTCACTGCTCCCACCTACCCTCCAGGTTTCTGCACCTTCATTAACCCTTCACACAGACTCTGGCCAACAGAAAACATTTGAGTCAGGCAGCTTCCTCACAATACTTTTGAAGGTTCTAGATGTGAGACCTTCACCCTGACCCTCTTCCAGACCTGGACATTAAGGAAAGTTTAAGTAGGGCTTTACTTTATCAGAGTCTTCATTCATTATGTTTAAAGAGGCAGCCAGTCAAATACAAAAAAACATTTAAATGTCTGTCATGTGCAAGAAGCAGTGTGTCATAGTGGATACAGTTGGTCAAATGCAAGATCCAGATATGCCTTACCTTTGACACATTGGCAGTATAACCCTTAGCAATTACAATCTCTGTGCTCTAGGCAGTTTTTTTTTCCCTTTCTTTTTTGGTGAGGCAATTGGGGTTAAGTGACTTGCCCAGGGTCACACAGCTAGTTAAGTGTAAAGTGTCTGACACAAAATTTGAACTCGGGTCTCACAGACTCCAAGGCTGGAGCTTTATCAAACACTGCGCCATCTAGCTACCCTTAGGCAGTTTTCTAAAACTATAAGTTGCAAAGGGAAAACAAAACAGTCCCTGCCCTTCTGCTTCTTTAGGAACATATTCTGATGGACAGACTTCTGTGTCAAAGGGGAAATGGCCTTAAGGAAGGACAGGTAGGAATTAGTATCTGGACCATGTGCTGATATTTATTTCCTCCATCACAGTGCTGTGAGATGGGATAGCATTCATTTCAATGTTAAAGATTATCTCTTCCAGCTAAGAATCTGGAATTCCCTAGACCTTTTATATTCCTAGAGGGCAGACTTTGTCTTTAGAATATTTTATCCAGAATACCTAGCATACTAAAATATTAAAAGCAGTTGGAGCTATGGCTCAGACCATAATCCAGATCTCCTAACTGATTGCTACCTGGAATTCCTGCTCCCTTCAGATAGCAAGGGGAGGTTGCTGGAGAAAGCCGCTTCCCTTGCAAAAGCAGAAACAAAGCCTGCGGCCATGTCACCAGCTCCTTGCCTGGACCTTCCTGTGCAAGGGTGTTCAGCTAACCCTTTGTAGAATAAGATCACGGCATCAGAGAATCTGCTGCAGTCGTCACTGAAGGACTTTCATTCATCCCTGAGGTGACACTGCCTCCCAGAGGCCCATGCCTGTTGCTGCACCTGTAACGGAACATATTCTAGAGATTCAGAAAATGAATTGGCTACCGAGAATAAAGGTTTTACTTAAGATGTAGTCATCCTATAGCCACTGATGATCTACAAGTGTTTCCCGATGGTATGTTTGGCTAGTCCAAAGTATAACAGTGGAATATGTCAGTGAGGCATTGGGATTCCCAGCCAGACAGAGAGGGGGTCAAGGGGAAGGAGGCCATTTACGTGGCTGACTCTTGTGCTGGATACCAACTCTGACTTGGGTATGGAGTTATTACACTGCTCCCACCAACCTGGAGAAGATGCTCTGAACATTTCTATCTAATGAGGTAAGGTAGACTACCTGTAGACATAGGAATTGAAAACTTTAGATTATGCTGCCTTCAAAGTTTTTTACTCCTTCCCTTATTTTGTCATGTTCTTTACCTGGCCTCCTGTAATATAAAATAATATGGTTCAGATAGACGAATGTATAGTGGATCAAAAGGCATTTTACTCAGTGATTTTTTTTGCTTTTCATGGGGAAGGAAGGGGTGTGGGAAGCACCAAGACTAGGTGAGTTGCTGCTCAAAAAGTTAGAACTGTTACTTTAGCTTTATTTCAAGTAGTTTCTTGGAAGTCTAACCAAGATCCAATTCCTGGTTTCAGCCTCCCTTTCCAATCAGGTCTCTATCCTCTCAGCTCTTATGAGGAATGAATATGGGATAAGGCCACTGCCACAAGTTTCCAAACACTTTGTATGTAGTAGGTGTTCATTAAAATGCTCCCTGAAAATATTTTGCCACCTGGCACAAACAGGGATTGTGACACCTCCCATTTGGAGATGCCCTGCCCCCACCTGCTTTCTGAGAGACTGAGGCAAGGACACATTGAGGAGGAGGCTGGAATAGGGGGAGCAGTGAAGCTGGAAGGTACACTTGGCCAAATGGGGGCTGTACCCAGGGAAGTGACTCCACTTAAATTTCACGATTATAATGAATAAAGGATAAGTGACACAGTGAAGGAAACCAATAAAATTTTTGCCTTTAATGATTGGAAAATTATGTGCAATTGGTAACCAGAACACTTTTTCTGGCTCCCTAGAAGGGAGGAACCCTTCTCTCCTTCCCTATTACTCTCCTTCCCCATTACCCACCTTCAAGTCCTATTCCATATCACCTAAGACAAATTGTCTTTATGAGTTTGAAGATACAAGCAGCATCACACAAATTAGTAACAATTCCAAAGCTATGGACAAGGGAAATTTTTTTTTATATAATATAGATACACACAAAGAGGATATAGTCAAGAATACTAGTGATGGGTTACCTGAAATACTAAGAATTCAGAGAATTGTAGAGCTAAGAAATCACCCCCTCAACAACCATGCACACTCACCCTCCACCCCCCAATGTTCCCTTCCAAATGAGTCAAGCCTTTCTAGAATGGCACTTATGAATACTTTCTCTGCCATGTTGGCCTCTCTTAGAAATCTTGTAGGTTTTGTCTTCATGATGTCCTTCGGTCTTTTCACCTACCCCTGCCTTAGGAGGACGCAGGGGAATCCATCTTTCTGCTTAGTCATTCATGTCCAGATCAAATTCAGGATACAGCTCCTTGGTGGTGACACCTCTGATGCTGGCTGGAATAGCAGAATGATATCATGAGAGAAGTGAAAATTGGAAAAGAGGATGCTGTCAAAACCCTGGCACAAAAATGACCCGACAAATTCCTCAAACCCCTCTGTCGGATTCAGACTTTTCACCTAAAGCTTCAAGACTCCCATTTGTCAGCCCTCACATTCTTCACTTCTTTCATCTTTGGCTACAAGGTTAAACCAGTTTCTATGTTCTTTTCATTCTTTTTCCTATGGGCCCAAATCATCTTATCCATGCACAGATGTTGAAAGATTATACCTCAGCATTCTCCTCTTATTCTGGGAAGTTTTTTTATTTTTTTATTATTATACTTATTTTTTTTTTTTTGTGAGGCAATCAGGGTTAAGTGACTTGCCCAGGGTGACACAGCTAGTAAATGTCAAGGGTCCAAGGCCGGATTTGAACTCGAGTCCTCCTGACTCCAAGGCTAGAGCTCTATCCACTGCGCCACCTAGCTGCCCCTTGGGGAGTCTTTTCTGATGATGCCCAGCTTTCTCTTTCAATTTCAAATTCTCTCCCTCTTCTTCCCCTCCCCATTGAGAAAGTACAAAAACCAAAACCTATTACAAATATGTACAGACATGCAAAATACATTTCTACATTATCCATGCTCTAAAAAATGCAAGAAAGTAAATAAATTTTTTAATGTCACTTTAATTTCCTAACATATCCTTCTCTCTCCCTTATAACGAAGAATTAAAAAGGAGAAAAAAACAAACCCAACACATCCAGTCAAATGTTATGTGCGGTATTGTCCCCCACACCAAGAAGGTCAGGAAGTGCATCCTCACATCTCCCTTTGGGGTCAAGCTTATTATAATTTTTTTTGCACTTTGGTAGCAAACACTAAATTGGAAGCTGGAAGATGAACACTTCCATATATAGTGTAGAGCAGGAAAGGACTGTACATGAAGCTATGAATCTGTCCTGTTTGTTATAATTTCTTAATATTCCACTTCGTTTCTTACTGTTTCTTATGCTGTTGTCATTGCATTGTGTTTGCCTGGTTCTGCTTGCTTCCCTCTGCTGCAGTCCATAAGTCTTCTCCTACTCCTCTGCATTCTTCATATTCATCATTTCTTACAGTGCCATATTCTATCATGTTAACATACAAACTGTGTTCAGCCATTTCTCAACAGATGGGCAGGTACTTGGTTTCCAAGTCTTTGCTACTACAAAAAATGCTGCTGCTCAAGAAGGAAATAGAGAAAGGGGGAAAGAGGGAGGAGGAATTGGAGGGAAGATAGATTAAAGGAATGATCAACCCTGGGCAAAACAAACTGTGATATACAAAGATATTGTAGCTTTTTTTGGAGTGGCAAAGAATGGTAATTGGAGGGGATGCCCATGAATGGATAAACAAGTTATGGTATATAAATGTGATGAAATACTATTGTGCTGTAAGAAATAATGAAGAAGGGGCAGCTAGGTGGCACAATGGATAGAACACTGGCCCTGGAATCAGAACCTCAGTTCTGTGTGACCCTGGGCAAGTCACTTAAAAAAAAAGAAAAAGAAATAACGAAGTAGATGGTTTCAGAGGAGACAGAAAAATTCTATGAACTGATACTGAAGAGAACCTGGAGAACAGTTTATATGACAACAATATGGTAAAGCCAAATAACTGAAAGAATTAAGAATTCTTACCAGAGTAATGACCAACCACGATTCCAGAGGACTAATGGTGAAACATGGTGCCTACCTCCTTATTAGGAGCCAATTAGGACCCAATAGTGTAGAATAATACAAATACATTTTTGGACGAGGCCAATGTAAAAATTTGTTTTTTCTCTAGTTTTCAATTAGGGTTGGGGGTGGAGCATGGGGGTTGGATCAAGAGGGTAAGAAGGTGAATTTTTGCTGATTGAAAAAAAAAAATTGGGGGGGAAGGAGGGCTAGGCAATGGAGTCTTGCCCAGAGTCACACAGCTAGTAAGTGTCAAGTGTCTGAGGATGCATTTGAACTCAGGTCCTCCTGACTCCAGGGCTGGTGCTCTATCCACTGCGCCACCCAGCTGCCCCAATAAAATTTTTATATTTTGATGTATATGGTCCCTTTCTTTTATCACTGACATATGTGGGGTATATATATGTGTCTAGTAGTGGTATCTTTAGATCAAAAGCTATGAACATTTTAGTCACTTTTTTAGCATAATTTAAACTGTCTAACAAAACGGGTTCGAGGCTGCAGGTTCCCAACCCCTGGGTTAGACCAATTCACAGCTATGTTAACTGTTTTTGTATGCCTTTCTTTCCAAAAGCCCTCCATCATTGACCATTCCCATCTTTCATCATCTGTGCCATTTCCTGGATGTGAGGTGAAATTCTAAGAGTTGTTTTGATTTCCATTTCTTATTATTAGTTATTTGGAACTATTTTTCATATGGTTATTTGCAGTTCTTCTCTTGAGAACTGTTTGTTCATATACTTTGGGGAATGGCTTAAGTATTATATACAATATTTGTGTTACTTCCTTATATATCTTGGTTATCAGACATACTTGATGAAATTTTTTCCCCCATTTCCCCCCTAAAAATAAAAAGTAGGTCAGCAAAACAGACTATATACAAATGTACTTCATAACTCAGTTTTAATAAACCAGAGTATATAAACTACTTGGGAAATCCCTATTTGGCAAGAACTGCTAGGAAAACTGGAAGGCAGTTGGGCAGAAAGTAGGTTTAGATTAACATCTTACACAATATACCACAGTAAGCTCAAAATGGATAGGGGACCTGACTATTAGAAAAAACATCATTAAAAAAAAATAGAAGAGAATCAGATTAGGTACCTTTTCACAGCTACAGAAGGAGGAAAAATCTGTGGAAAATTCTCCAACTTTCACAGAACTGTCCTTAGGGACCTATAGACTTCTGTTAGCACTCAAGAAACAAGTGGGCAGGTCTTCTGACAATGATCTAAAATGATCATTAGTTGCTAAATAATTTTCTGAGTGTTTACAACATGTTAGATGCTAGATTAAGTTGGAAAGGAGCTTAAAAGAACGTGAAATAAACTGGATGCCCTTCATTTGGGGGAATGACTGAATACGTGATGGTCCACAAACATAATAATGTATTATTGTTTCATAAGAAATTATGAATGTGGAGAGTTAAGAGAAATTTGGGAAGACTTGTATAAACTTATGCATAGTGAGATGAGTAAAGTCAGAACAATTAATAGGATGACTACAATAATGTAAAGAAAAAGAGGAAAGATTTCATGAAACAGGCCTCTTCACTCTTAGCAAAGAAGTAATGGACAAAATGGTAAATCCATTACCAGATTTGGCCAATGTGTTGATTTATTTTGCTTTTCTATACTTATTTATAACAATGGAGAGCTTCTATTTTTGGGGGGTGTCTGTGGGCAGATGCTAAAAAAAAGCATGAATAAAACACTGAATAAATACTACCTTGTTAAATTTAATACTTTAAATTTAATAATTAAAAATATGTAAAAGAATGAATAAAATGTTGAATAAAATAAACATGAATAAAATGAATAAAACATTGAATAAGTACTACCTTGTTAAATTTAATACTTTAAATTTAATAATTAAAAAAAATGTAAAAAGTCCACCTTCATATATCAGCCTCTTTTTCTTTGTATGTTGAAATTTCTGTTGATGTTCATAATAGAAAAGAGAATTTAAGAACTTAAAAGCACATCTGTATCTTCCCTCTGCACCTAATCATCCCAGACAGGCACTTGAGTTATGACTAAAGGCTTCTAAAAAAGGAGATTCTTAGTAGACACAAGATGGATCATGAAACAACAAAGGGCTGTTCTATTTCTTTTGCTGTTGCTACATTAACAAATTGACAACTTGAGGGCAAACAGAATCTCTCAAATGATCCATATAGTACCTGATACATTAAAATACTTGGGGCAGCTAGGTGGTGCAGTGGATAGAGTACCAGCTCTGGAGTCAGAAGGACCTGAGTTCAAATCCGGCCTCAGATACATAACACTTACTAGCTGTGTGACTCTAGGCAAGTCACTTAACCCCAGTTGCCTCACCCCCCCAAAAAAAAATACTCCAATTATCTACCAGAGGTGGGTAGGAGGGACATTATCAGAAAACTGTCCCCATTTGGGTCCTAGGGAAATTACTGGCACCTGTCACAGCCTACTGGCAACTCCCAAAGGAAGCATGTCAATCACATGGATAAGGGAGTTTAGGAACCAAAATACAAATTGCTTAGCCATTCCCAGGTGTCTGGAATTGGTTAGTGAGTTTGAGACAAGGAGTTATAAGAATGTATACAAAGCAGTGACAGCAAAGTTGAACGTACTGGGATTTTCTAGGAGTATGAAAGCCAAAGCAGGAGGTGTGGAAGGGGGAGAGGTGGTCTCTCTGAAGTCAGGGAACTTCCAGCCACTCACCTAATTTTCCCATTAACATCTGGCCCACATCTTTAATGTCATTGTACTCATGGAGCAGGGAAATGTGGTCTTCCAACTCGGACACAACATAGCCTCTGAGAAACACAGAAAGAGATGTAGATGATGAAAAGCCACATGAAGATTAGCGGCTGCAACAGCAATCAAGAATAACAAACATCTGCTGAACTAAAGTGGACTGACATGTGGACAGGGGCTTGGTGGTCATGGCTGTGGGACCACTGACAAGTCACTTACTTCTCTGAATCAGTTTTCTAATCTGAAAGGTGGGGTTTACACTTTGCAGTGAGGTTGTGAGTTAAGTCCTTAAAATGCTATAGAAATATGAGTTATAGTTATCATCCAACAAAGAAAGCAGGTGGGATACACGAGAACAAAAAAGGGAAGGGGGGCCCCGGGCGGTGTTTTCTATTTGTAGAGAAAGCTCAAAAGTTCTGTGAACTGCAAGGTCATTTAGTCTGACTTCCTCATTCTATAATGGAGGAAAATGGAGCAAGGAGTGGAGTGACTGTGCACAGAGCAGAAGGGACAGACCACATTCAAACTCCAATCTTCTGATGTCAAGTCCCACATTCTTTCCACCATGTGGTACTGTTTTGAAAAACAGTTTAGAACCATGCAAGAAAAGTAATTAAATTGTTAATAGTATGCCATAGGGAGACACTGGAGGATTTATACTACAAGTGGGTGAATGGCAATGAGAAAAGATCTGTATGTAACAAATACATTCATAAGTACATTATCTGTAATAAGGAAAAGCTGCAAACAAGATATGTGCCCGACAACTGGACAACAGCTGAACAAAGCAATTATATCAATGTCATGGAATGTTATTGTGCCATAAGGAATGATGAATATCATTCATAGGATTCATAAAAGTGTGGGAAGGTCCAGGCAGCATGTGAAAGAAGCACAGCCAAAATTGTATGTACACAGTGACTAAGACAATGTCAATAAAAACGACACCAAAAGGCAACAAAATGTGGCTCAAATTCAGTGAGCAATGTTGGTACGTAGTTATTAATATTAAAGGACAGATTCTTCTTTTCTACTAACAATTGGTAAATGACAAGAGGAAAATGACAAGATCAGCCTCAGAGAGTGAGTGTGTGTGTGTGTGTGCGCGTGCACGTGCAAATATCAATTCCTACTCAAACAGCAAAAATCTAGCCAGTTAGTCATGTTCAATATTAATCAAACAAGAGGTTGGGAAAGAGTTCCAAGAAGGTCATATACACTAAAATAACAGGAACTTCAGGGTATCTTTGTAAATGGGGATAAATAGAGCCTTTTCTATCATGCAGCTCCTCTTCTTTTCACTCTCACCCCCTACCCCACCCATGCCCTCCAGCTTTTACTGTTATAACAAGAGGGAGGTGAACTACAGGCTTTTTACTTTTGGTGGAGGGAATAATATGGGACCTAAGAGGCTACTAAAGTACAGGTTAAGGCACTGATTTGATTTTCAAAATATGTGATCTCTTTCCCAAAGACTCTCTGAAGTCTAAGTAGTTCTATGAACTCTACAGAGAAAAGAAACTCTAGAAATGCAAAGTCCTCAATCAAAGACAGTGAAACATGCCAATCTAACTCCCAGCCCTCAGCTTTGTAACCATGTCTAATGATGCTGTTTTGTAAGCATTCTTAAGATCTTTTTCAGCTGTGTATGTCCCAGCTCAATCACTGAATTTCAGAGCTAGAATCAACCTTTGCAATTATGTAGTCCAACCCCCTCTTCCTCAGATAAGGAAAATGAAGGAGTGACTGGATAAAACAAGTTAGTTTCAGAGCCAAGTGCTAGGTCTAGCCCTCTGGTTACACTGTGCTGTTCCCCCAAGGGCAGGGACTGGATCTCCCTCCACAAACTGGAAACTCCCCAAGGGAAGAAATCATGTGGTATAGTACAGGGTCTTGCAACGGGCCAAGGGAGCCAGAAGGCCACATATGGAATCAGAAGAATGAGGTTCTTGTCCTGGTTCTGCCATTTATTAGCTATGAAACATGAGGAAAGTCTGTCTGACTCCCAGCTTCTTCATCAATAAAAGTGGGATAATCATAAGGCATGCACTATCCAACTTTACTGGGGTTCCATGAGCCTCAAATGTGATGTTTATAAACTGTAAAATGATATACACGTGCTACTATTCTTCCTTCTTTCAATACTTCTTGAATACTTAACATGATGCTTTGTATATAGGGGTCCTCAAACCATGGTATTGAATGGTAAAGGGTCTCACAACAAATTTAGTAATAAATGTACTCAGCCATCAACTGGGAGATCTCCTGATCCAAAGTGTCCCTCTTTTGCTTTAGCTCCTGGATTTCCAGCTGTAGGGAATCCTCACTGGTCTCATCAGCCTGGCCAGATTTGGGAGTGGGCACCTAAATGGCATAACAAGAAAAGATGTGAGTACTGACCTACCTGGCAGTCAATATGATCAGCCCCTCTGGTAGCCGTAGCAACTGAACTCCTGGGTTCTGTTTCCAATTCTACCCCGCCAAAAGCAGTGTAGTAAAATGGAAAGGCCCTTGGCCTAAGGCTGACACTTCCTGGTTATGTGGCCCTGGGTGAGTCATTTGACATCCCTGAACCTCAAGTTTCTCTATCTCAACTTGTACTACCTACCTCCCGGGGTTGTTGGAAAGAAAGGACTTTGTAAAACTTGAAGTGCTATAAAGATTTTACCTTTCCATTTACCAAATGACAAGGGTTGGGATTACTGTTTTTCCAATACTTCACTTTCTCTTTAGCCCTTCTTTCCTCTTGGAGACACTGGGAGAATGAAGAAGGTAGATCTCTATGCTTGGAGGAAAAATAAGAAAGTAGAACACTTAAGATTTAAAGAGTAGGCTCCTGGAAGCTGTACCTAGAATGATTCAGAAGGAATTGAGGAAGATTGCCCAAGGTGAAGAATAGGAAAGACTACTTGACAAAGAATACTGGAATTATTCCTTGGGCTTCAATGAATTGCCATAGATTATCTAGCATATCTCCTTGATCTCTCTGGACCTCAGTTACCTGGAAAATGACAAGATTAGGTTAGACGATCTATGTCAAGCACTATGGGAGATGCTAACAAGGGTAAAAAGATGAATAACAGTTATGAATCTAAAGGAGTTAGTTTATAATGGGCCAAAAGGCAGACAGACAGACAGACACATACATACATACACACACACACACACACACACAAAACTATACCACAAAATAGAACATGACATTGAACATTGATTCACTTATCATCTCTAAGCTCTATACTAACCTCTAGATGCATCTCAATGGCCTACTGAACAGTTTGAACTGGATGTTCCATAAACATATATACATACATAACACATTATAATATATTACATATAAATAACATATAAAAACAATTTCAAGGAGCCAAGATGGCGGAGTAAGAGGTGAGTCTCTCTTACTCTCCCTTCTTAATCTCTGAAAGCCCAGAAAATATCACCCCAGGAAAAACCCTGGAACAGCTGAACCAGAAGAAAGATGGGGTGCAGCAGTCCAGTAGTCCAGGTAACTTGAAGGATTAACTGGAAAGGCTCCTCTTACCCTGGGGGAAGGGGAGCAGTACAGAACGGGAGGCAACCCAGCAAGCTAGTGGAAAGCCCCACCTCAGCATACCAGGAGGAGATCCTGAAGCCCAGGTGGTGGAGCAGGCAAACACTAACACCTGGACCTCCGAGTGCCTCAGTGAGGGCAAGGGAACCGGTGGAAACCAGCTTGGAAAACCACCAGGTGCCTTGGCATTCTACAGCAACCGGCTCTCCCAGTGTCTCAGCAAAACTAAGGGAAGCAGCGCTCCAAGGGGCCCCAGGAAGATAAACACCCTACAACATGCATCTGAAAAGAGCTGAAGAAACCAAAAGGAAGGAAAGGTCTGGGTGAGCAGGAAATCTCCAGGAACCACACTATCTAATCCTACCCCTAGAGTTCCAGTGTTGCTGATTCCAGCCCAACACCAGGTAAGCTGCCAGAATGCTACAGCCTCCAACAATGGAGGCCCCAGCACACAAAGTCATCGACCAGGTCCGAGGCTCCCAACACAAGAAGCTTGGGTCGGTGCCCTCTGCTCCCCAGCAGGAGAGCCCAATCTCTTTAAAGGCCAGGAAATAAGCAAACACCATGAGCAAAAAGAAACATATGATAGATTCTTATTATGAGAAGAGTGAAGATCAAGGCAGAAATTCTGAAGAGGACAACATTGTCAACAAACCCACATCTGGAACCTCAGAAGGGAATATGAACTGGTCTGAAGCCCAAAAAGCCTTCTTAGAAGAGCTCAAGAAGGATTTTAAAAGTCAAATGAGAGAGGTAGAAGAAAAAAATGGGAAAAGAAATGAGAGGTATGCAGGAGAGAGTTAATAGCTTGGAAAAGGAAGGACAAAAATTAACTGTAGAAAACAAGTCCTTAAAAAATACAGTTGGCCAACTGGAAAAAAAATACACTGAAGAAAGCAAGGATGAGTTTCTAAAGGCAGAGACAGCAAGGTATGAGGTAGGGCATCTTTTTTTTTTTTAAATTTATTTATTTTTAGTTTTCAACATTTACTTCCACAAGATTTTGAGTTCCCCATATCTTGCCCCTTTCCCACCCCAAGATGGCAAGCATTCTGAATACCCCTCCTCCTAATCTGCCCTCCTTAGGTAGTACATCTTTCAGGCACAAGGAACTGAGTGAACAAAAGACACAGTCAGAAAAGAATAGCATGTTTGTGAAATGGTAGGTAATTCTGTATGGATGAAGTAAGATGTTTTATAAAAGCAAGTTTTATGAAATAAGCCTGCAAAGGTATATTGGTACTAGATTGTAGAAGGCTTTGAAGGGTAGGACAAAGGAATTTGGACTTTCCTTTCCAGATCTAAGGATCAGTCAATCAGCCAATCAACAAACATTTACTAAGTGCTTACCATGGTCAGGCATTGTGCTAATCACTGAGGATACAAAGAAAGGCAAAAACACAGTCCTTATGCTCAAAAGTACTCACATTCTAATGAGGGAGACATCATTTAAAAATGGCCCATACAAGACCTCTCAAGTGTAAATGGAAAGTCATGTCAAAGACACCAGAAGGGGGCAAGTCACTTAAGCTCTCTAAGCCTAGGTTTTCTCAACTATAAAACAAAGGAGTCAGACTAGGTGACTTCTAAGGTCCCTTCCATCACTAAATGATCCTATGACCTGTAGCCAGGAGCTCATAGCTCTTCCACACTCAGTGAAATCAAACAACCAACAAGTATTTACTGAGCTGAGTATCTTCTCTCAAGGAACTCACACTAGGGGGTGGGGTGGGGTATAAGACACACACACACAAAAAGATATTTTAAAATACAAGGGCCAAATGAGCAATAGAGATTCGTTTACTAATATGTGTATGAATACACACACCCACACACATATGTTACAGAGTATGAGATCATCGTGGGCTAGAGTGGTCAAGTGAGGTATATCAATGTGAGTTCAGCTTTGAAGAATGGTCAGGAATGGCTGGACTATAGTATAGGAATGCAATGGAAAGGTATTGCACGTGATGGAACAACAAATGTACGAATGGGGAGGCTTGCATAAGCTGCTGGCAGGAAGGGGAGTGCTATATAATGAGGTAAGAAAGATAAGTTGAAGCCAAATTGTGAAAGATTTTTTTGTTTTATTTTTTGTTGTTGTTATTGTTGTTGTTTTTAGGCAATTGGGGTTAAGTGACTTGCCCAGGGTCACACAGCTAGTAAGTGTCAAGTGTTTGGTCTGAGGCCGGATTTGAGGTCAGGTCCTCCTGACTTCAGGGCCGGTGCTCTATCCAATGCGCCACCTAGCTGCCCCTGAAAGATTTCTTTTTAAAAGCCAAATAGAGGAATTTTTATTTTATTCTAAGGACAAGAGACCCACTGAAGTTTACTGAGCAGAGTGCCATGGCCACAGAATCTTTGATTTAGAACTGAGAAGGACAGAAGGGGTCATGGTGCCTAGATCACTCATTTTACAGATGGCATAGAAAAGTTAAGTCACACAGCTAATATCTTCGGTGGGATCTGAACCTAGGTCTTCCTGACTCCCCATCTAGTGACCAATTAGTAGGGATTGCACTAGTCCAGGTGATGGCCTGGCCTAAGGTAGGAGCTGTGTGAACCGTGAGGAAGCAACAAGTGTAAGAGATGTTGTGGAGGCAGAAATGACAAGATTTGGCAAATGACTAGATAGTGGGGTGAAAAACAGTGAGAAGGCAAGAGTAATGCCAAGATTGCAAACCCCGAAGACTGGAAGGGACAATGGTACCCTAAACAGAAATGATAAAGTTTGGAGGAGGGGTGGTTTTGGGGAAAAGACAATGAGTTTGTTTTGGACAGACTGGGGTTTGAGACAGATGTCCATGGGATATCCACTAAGAAATGAACAATAGGGAACTGGTGATGTAGGTCTGGAAGTCAGCTGGGAGACTGATACTGACAGACAGATAGGTAGGTAGGGAGATCCCAGATATAGAAATATCTAGAAGGCATCTGCATCAACATGAGAATTAACTCATGGGAGCTAATTAGGTCACTCAGAGGGCCCAGGACAGAATCTTAGAATACACCCCACAGTTTAGGGGGCATGATACTGATGATAAGCCAGCAAAAGAAACAGGAGATATGACAGGTAGGAGGATAACCATGAGAAACTAGTGTCACAAAAATCCAAAGAAAGAGTCAGGAAAAGAAGGTAGCCAACACTGCCAAATGCTGCAGAGTGCAAGAGGATGAGGTCTGCAAAAAAGACCTACAGATTTGGCAATTAAAATATCACTGCTAACTTTGGACAAAGCACCTTCAACTGAAGTGATGAGGTTAGAAGCCAGACTGCAAAAGGCTAAAAAATGAAAAATCAAAGTATAGGAAGTAAATATTAATTTAGACAGTTCTTTTGAAGAATTTAGCTTTGAAAGAAAGAAGAAATTTAGCTTGAGGGGAAAGCAGGGTCTACTAAAGGGTTTTTTGGTTTTTGCTTTTTGGTGAGGCAATCAGGGTTAAGTGACTTGCCCAGGGTCACACAGCCAGTAAGCATCAAATATCTGAGGACAGATTTGAACTTGGGTCTTACTGACTCCTGGGCCAGCACTCTATCTATTTACTGTGCCACCTAACTGATTTACTAAAGGTTTTTAGAATGGAGAAGACTTGGGTACCTTTGCAGGCAGCTGAAAAGGAACCAGTAGATGACAGGGAGAGACTAAAGCTTAAAAAGAAGACGACTGAGGGAACAATCTATTGTTTGCCAATACAAAGATATAGAGATGGGAAATGGAGTACTGTGTGTGAGAGACAACAAATAGCCCAGTTTCACTAGATTAGGGGTGGGGAATCTTTGGCCTCAAGGTGGCCTTCTAAGTCCTTGGGTGCA